AGAGAGAGAGAGAGAGAGAGAGAGAGGGAGAGAGGGGGGAAGAAAAATAAGAGAAAGAAAGACGAGTGGAAATAGAAATAAGAATGTGTGTAAGAGAGAGAACTAGAAATAGAAAGAAAAGACAGGGAAGAAATAGAAATAAGAATGAGAGAGAGAGAAAGAAATAGAAAGAAAAGAAATAGAAATAAGAAAGAGAGAAAAATAGAAATAGAAAAGAGGGAAGAAATAGAAATAAGAATGAGAGAGAGAGAGAGAAATAGAAAGAAAAGAAATAGAAATAAGAGAGAGAGAGAAAAATAGAAATAGAAAAGAGGGAAGAAATAGAAATAAGAATGAGAGAGAAATAGAAATAGAAAGAAAGAAAAGGCAGGGAAAAAATAGAAATAAGAATGATAGAGAGAGAGAAATAGAAATAGAAAGAAAAGAGTGAAGAAATAGAAATAAGAATGAGAGAGAGAGAAATAGAAATAGAAAGAAAAGAGGGAAGAAATAGAAATAAGAATGAGAGAGAGAAATAGAAATAGAAAGAAAGAAAAGAGGGAAGAAATAGAAATAAGAAAGAGAGAGAGAAATAGAAATAGAAAGAAAGCAAAGAGGGAAGAAATAGAAATAAGAATGAGAGAGAGAAATAGAAATAGAAAGAAAGAAAAGATGGAAGAAATAGAAATGAGAATCATAGAGAGAAAGAAAGAGAAATAGAAAGAAAGAAAAGACAGGGAAGAAAGGAATAAGAATGATAGAGAGAAATAGAAAGAAAGAAAAGAGGGGAGAAATAGAAATAAGAGAGAGAAATAGAAATAGAAAGAAAAGAGGGAAGAAATAGAAATAAGAATGAGCGAGAGAGAAATAGAAAGAAAACACAGGGAAGAAATAGAAATAAGAATGATAGAGAGAGAGAAATAGAAAGAAAAGATGGAAAAAATAGAAATAAGAAAGAGAGAGAGAAATAGAAATAAAAGATGGAAGAAATAGAAATGAGAATGATAGAAAGAAAGAAAGGAAAAGAGGAAATAGAAATAAGGGATAAATAGGCAGAGAAAAAGAGAAATAGAAATAAGAGATAAATAGGCAGAGAAAAAGAGAAAGAAACAGAAAGAAAGAAAAGGCAGAGGAAATAAATAAG